TTTGTGAGAGGGCACACCTTTGGCACCCAAAGTTAAGCTTAGAGGCTTTGAATAAATCATGTTTACTGGCCTGTGATTCCTCATATGCAAGATAAATTAGTCAGACAAATGTATCTCTAGCTATAAATGTGATGATTACTGAAGCACTGATAAAAATTAGCCTGACCTTTTATAACTCCCTTCATTTGTAACCATCTTTTGTAAACATATTTAAACCACATCTTGAATATAAGATTTATCTCTCATTTTAAAAAAATTATCTTTATTGCTGAAAGTATTGCATATGTCCTCTTTGTTTCCCATTGACCCCCTCCACCCTGCCCCCACCCCACCCCCAGGCCTTCACTGCACTATGGTCTGTGTTCATGGGTTATGCATATATGCATATAAGTTATATGTCATTTTTTAACAGTATATGACTAATGAGTTGTCAGCACAGTGTATTGGAAAAGTATGGCCATGTATATCAGAAAATCTGAAATCTAATCTTGATTTCAGAATAATGCTCAAATTAAAACACAAAGTAATATCATTTATTCCTTTCTGCAAATGATGGTCTAGACTCATTTTTTCCTTATATCCCAAAAGAAGAATTCTCTTCTTTTTTTTTTCTTTTCTGTTTTTTTGTTTTTGTTTTTTGTTTTCAAGCAAGAATATGCTTTTGTTGATTTTTAGAGAGAGAGGAAGGGTGAAAGAGAGAAAGAGAAACATTGGTGTGAGAGAGAAATATCGATCAGTTGCCTCTCATATGTGACCTGACTGGGGATCAAACTCACAACCTGGGTATGTGTTCGGATCAGGAATTGAACCCACAACTTTTTGGTGTATGGGATGATGCTACAACCAGCTGAGCCATCTGGCCAGGGCAAGAAAAGAGTTATTTTCAGTTATAATGAGTCTAAAGTAAACCCAGTAGTGTATAAAAATGCATTACCAAGACTTCCCAGGCTTTTCCTTTTTTCAATCCTACCCACACATTTTTTTTCTAATATTTTTTTCCCCCAAAAATAAATCAGCTTCTGACCATGGTGAGAGCCACATAGTTTGCCTTTTCAAGGCTTGGAAGGAAGTAATAACGTTGTAATACTGAAAGTTAGCATATGTGACATTGGACATAACATTTTTGCCTAGTGTTAACCCTTGTCCAAGAGTCACACAGGGTGCTAGGCTGTGGCCTGAAGCCATCTCAACAGGTATAAATTCAAAAATCCATGTATATGTGGCTCAACATAAAGGAAACTCACAAAATGAAACCTGTGTGGTTTATGTGCAGTTCTGATAGGCATACAGAAGTAATTTATTATGAAAGCTGTTCCTTTATTCAAGGATTTGTGAGCACATATTTTTTTTTTGGTAATTTTTCCATTGATTGCTTATAATAGCAACTGGTAGCATTCTGTGTTGTGTTGTTTTATTGCTTATATCCAACAAGAGAATAGGCATAATACAAATTGTTATGCATTATCCGAGACTTCCATTTGCAATAAGGAGCACAGACAATGCCATACTAAAGTGAGTTTATTGACATTCCTTGAAGGTGGTATAAGGGAAGAGAAAGCTTGGCCTGAGAATCATACATTTCTCTTGTCAATGTAAGCAAAATCAGCCCAATAATGTGGACTTCTCTGGCTATTGACTAGGACAAAGACTTAACAAAATTGTTGTAGGTATTTCCTTAGATAATTTGCAAGCTACAGGAAGTAGGCTAATGGACTGACATTTGCTCTCTATATTACCTGTTAGTATCTATATTTTTCTACTGGAACAAAGGGACTAATATGTCACTAATAGGAAAATAACACTTTCTTTTTTTATCTTATCTGGGCTGGAATATCTATCCTAGATTTTTATGTTACAGAATTGAAGCCGTTTTAGTGAACACTAAAGTAAATAATAATAATAATAATAATGATAATAATAATAAAACAATAACAATAATAAAGCACCACATTTGTTATGTGAAAGTCTGACTAGTTTCATTTGAAAGTATTTAATTTTGACTTGAGAAACATTTGTGGCAATCTAGAAATTTTCTGAACCCAAAATTTGGACACATGGTTAGACACATGTACTGACAATGTCATAAATGTAACATTTAACTGTCTTGGAAAGCCCAGTTCATTGACTTGCACAAAAATACACTTATTTTTAAAGGACATATAGTTATATATTAAAAGAGAAAACCTTTAGATATTTTTCATATTTAAAGCCTGCCAAAAATATATATTTTTCTTAATTTTTCATTGCCATCCAAGAAATTGTGCTACAATAGTGACAGTTAAATTTTTTTTGTCAACTTATATATACAGGAAGTTACAAAGAACTCAGTTATTTAGAACACTCCTTCTGATCCTACAGAGCCAATTTTTATTTTTAGGATTATTATCTTAATATGACAGAATAAAATGTGATATCCACAAAATTATTAATACTTTATAGCATTTCAAAAGCATTTTTCCAATTCTAACATGTTTTCTCATGTATTGTTCTTCTTTATCCTTCAGTTAAGGATAATACACTCTTACTAAAACTAGCTCTAAAAGATCTTGTTTTACAGAAATTGTTGCTTATAAGGGATTAATTTTATAATATGTCATGGAGAAAACCCGTACTTTAAATTAAAAACACACACAAGTGGTAACAGATCTGCATTGCCCATTGAATTATATAATTTGGATGGTTTACATCTCTACCTGGTAAAATTAATAGCATAATTTAGTCTTATAGCTGTTTTATTGTATATAATGATGGATTATATATAATTTAAAAGTCAGCTTCATATACGAGGGAATATTAACTAAGGAAATATCTTTCGGAACATAAAAAAATGAAAAGGATCTTTTTGTAACAACTGTCTATATTCCTTTGCTCTTTGTTTTCCTTCCTTAAGGAGTCTATCAAAGGCTTTAATGGAATCTGGGACGCTATTAAGCAGCTATACATTCTTTCAGCTTACTTTTACACCAGAGTTTCTTTTTGAAACTTTATACTTTCATGAAACACTGTTCCTAAAATGTTTTGTGGTATACGCCTAGAGTCATCCCATCAGGGGCAGAGGTAGGTAAGAAAAATTAGTTGAAAAATCATTTATGACCAAATTATCTATCTATATATAATTTCTAGAATATCTTGTTCCTTCTGCATATGGGTAAAATAGATATTAATTAATCTAGTTGATAGATTAATTATATATTTGCATAAATTATAAAGCAGTTTCCTTTTTTTAACAGCTTTCTTCCTTGTCAATGCCTAGCAAATAATATAAGTACTAAAAAAGAATCAATTTCTTGAATTAATGAGTATTTACATATATGTAACACCAAGTTCTAAAAATAATTGATGCCTCCTATACTAGAAGGTCCAGCTCATTGGTTTGCACAAAAATAATTAACTGTTAAAGGACATATGGTTATGTATTAAAAGAAAATTGCAGCAGTAATTTTATACTGTCACGTATTAAAGAGTTAGAATTGTGAAATGATCTATATAATCTTTATGTTCTGATTTTATCAATAAGTAATAATAGCTTAATCTGAATACACAATTTTTTCAGATATTGAAATGTATGCTGAATTTTACAGGTCCCCAAATTCCATATTATGTAACTTACACATTCAATTATATCTTGGTAAATATTCTTTTTAGATGACAACTGAAAGCTAAATTTCTATAACATATATATTCCCCGATTGACAAAATGTGCACTGCAGCAAGGAGTGCTGAGCATTGCAAATAATTCCTACTAAAAGAATGTTTCATATTGAAGTACAAGAAACACAATGCACTGTCCAGACACAGACTTCATATGAAATTAACTTTGTCTTATGTTTCTCACCATTTCTTCTTTGTTTACTATATTAAAAACAAAAATGTGACATTTCAATAGTGGGGCCCTTTTATTTCTTCTTTTTTCAGTGAAGAAAAACACTTTTATTTATGACATATTTCAGACAACATGGATAACATTAGAAAAATAGCAAAGGACCAAAACTTGGGTTTATTCCAAATGTATTTGAGACACTAGAATGTATTTGGAGCTTACAATTGTTTTTCTGAAAACACTAAGTTTTCTGGGAAAGCTCTTTACTGAATGCTAACAAAAGCTAGATTTCTATTTTGACACAAATCAATGTACATTGGAGGTGTTAGGGCTCTGCTCTTGGAGGATTACTATGAATGAAAAAGTACTATACTGCCCTTGATCCCTAACAAGCACCATCCCTATCTGCAGCTTCTTATTTAGTGTGGTCCCTTTGGACCATCAGATATGAAGGGATTTGAACACCATAATGAAGAAAACAGCATGAAAAATAAATATTCAAGTTAAAATAAAAATTTGTTTGCCATGCAAGTAATTACCTAGCTTTAACAGAAGTCATGAGATTAAACACAATGGGGACAGAAGCCTTGTCATTTATATAAACTACATAACGAGATGTTCTTCTTGGACATGTGCACGAGTTTGTGCTTCTTTTGTGGTGAATGTTCATGAAGGGTGCGTCCCTCTTAGATTTTTCTAAGCTGAAGTTGAGCCACAATCCCCATAACCATTAGGATGTACAACATTGCATCAGCAGAAGGTGTTCATCTTGCTGTTATTATTTGTTGGAAAGTGTAATATTTGCACCATATATTTGGCCTAGTTCCAGCTGATGGGACTGTTGCCCATATAAATTATGAGTTGAATGTATAAAAATTTTGGGTTTTCTACTGCTGTTTTTGTATGGATAATATGCACAGGGAAAAGTAGAGTGGGAGGGAAAGAGGTGGTCATCTAGTTCTAGAGTTGGTTGTTAGAAATTATAAAAAAATGGTGGCTCTGCTCAGAAAAGATAGGCATATAAAAGCTTGGAATGATTAATACTTATAACTTTTCCTTAAATTATATAAATGGAAGTAAACATTTATTACTTTTTGGTCAAGTGTAGCATAACTAGCATTCATATTTCACTGTTAGTAATGGAGGTATGTGGAGATATAAACAGATCTTGAGACAGCTCTTTTGTTTTGTTTTTTTAATATTGCATACAGGCTAGCAGTTAGTTGAAATAGAGGAGATAGGCCTGAAGGTTATATCTTAGTAGAAGGTGGTTCTTCATGCACAGTTTTTATCAATTCTGATTTGGTTTGAAAATAAAAATAATGAAATAACGAAATGAAAGGAGAGCTGATTCAGGGAAAGAGAAAGGGGGATTTTTTCCAGAAAGGGTGGTATCACTGTCCAGGAAAATGTAAGACGAGTTTCCATTTCTTTATTCAAGTCCAAAGGTGCTAGTTTCTTCTACTGCTGTTAACAGCTTTTCATACAACATGGAGTACGAGGGATAAGGTGGAAGATCCAATCGATTGAAGCACGTGTGCGCCCTGAATGGGGGAGAAAATATCAGTGACGGTGTTTGCTTCAATGATACAACTGGTTTGGATATATCTATGGTTAGTCTGAAGCTGTGAAAAGTGAATTAAAAGTTAGCAGAATGATGATTTAAGACCACCATAAAACACTGCAAACTAAGAACCATAGCCTTCTGGACTTGAATAGACCAGTTGAAGTAGTGGAATAGCTAGAAATGGGTGGTTTGCATTTGTAAGCAAATCACATCGAACTAGAACTACACGAGCAAACCAATGATAAACTCTACGGCATCAGCTTTATTTTGCAATTAAGGTGTGAAAATGGAAGTGGTTAGTGAAGGAAGCAGAAATATAATTAGTATTAGAGGGTCATATTCCCAAGCCTCCTTGCCCAGCTCTGACTTCTGAGTCTTAGTAAACCATGTACATAGACTTAGAGATGCCAACAGATGCCTTGAAATTCTGAGATACAATGCTCTGTCAGGGCAGGTGTGCCCTGGAGACAGTCTGGCTCCTCTACAGTTCCCAGTGGTACAGGTTTAACCTGAAGCAGATATTCTGCATTTCTAAGAACAGCTGAGCTTGTGATATAGTCCTCCCTGGTTGCCTAGAGCATCCCTGTGCCACCTTTCCTGGTTTCTGCTTTTCTTGTCATGTGCTTTATCTTGCAGCACATGCGGGTCTAGGCAAGAAATGGTTTCCTATGCTATGTGCTGACCCATGAACCAGGACCAGACCCCATGTCACCTGTGCAGGGCTTAGAAGCCCTGAATCCTCCTATGGAACTTCAAATGGGCCTGACTAGCTGTGCCCTGTTAGAGGTTCTTTGTTGATGCCACATCCTGTGCCAAAGTAGAGAGAAAGGTAGATGGGTGGAGCTGAAGGTTAATTTAATGTCTTTTCCTCCCTAGAAGGAGTGGTGGTTTGAAATGGTGTTTTGAGAAGCCAACCAGCGCAGAAAAGGACACTATAAAATAAAATAATAACATAAAATAACAATAAAATAAAATAATTTTAAATAATACAAAACAAACATACATATAAATAAAACTAAACAAAATCCTAACTAAAAAATAACATTTTTTTCTTCATTAGAATTTTATTTGGTATATTAAACTCTTCTTTTAAATGACAAACTCCCCAGGGAAGTTGTGTATTATTTATAAGTTTGTTTTCAGAGTCCCAGAGATCAGGTTGATGCAGTGCTCAGGGAATGGGGAAGATTGTTTGGAGGATAGGGAAAATGGGAAGAGGGGAGAGGGAAGGTGGTTTTCCTGAACAAGGAGAATTCAGGGAGAATGCTGTTGTTTTTGCCTCCCAGCATTCATTTTTTCTTTTCTTGATAACAGCTCCTTCATTGTCCTTGAGAAACTCCCCCACCAAGGGTGGGCACCGGATAATAGAGTATATGACCTTAGGACTTAAGGATTTAACTGGGAAGAAACATAAAAATAAGCCAAGATTAGCAGAGGTCTCATATTATTAACTAAGATTCAAATAGGCTTAAATTGACTTCAAAAGAAAATAAAATAATTGAAATATTTTACCTAAGCTTATGTGTCTGAGTAGAAGTGGAAGAGTACTCAGTAAATTGAGTAGGATGACACTTACAGTGGTTCTTCTCTATGTTTACAAAGATTGAAACTAAGACATACTCTGGGCTATGGCTAACTAAATTAAGTGGGGCAGAAACATCCCAAGTGTGCCTTTGGAACTGGCTGAATTAGCCAGGAGCAAGATATGAGCAGACATTATCTTCTTGATTTTCTTTCTCTGATTATTTTAGCTATCACTCATGAGTGAAAATATTACAGACAAAATAAAAAATCTCATATTTACAAAATACATTAATTCTGAAAAACATAATTTCTGGGAGTAAACTGAAAGTAGTAGCCAATGGCATCTCTTCAAGACCTGGTCCGAACACCCAGAATTTCTTCAAGAGTTACTTTTATTGCATTTATCTACAGTCTTGGTTAATTCTCTTAAATAAATTTCAGTTTGTAACCTAAATACCTATGAACAAAATCTGGCCATTTCCTACCTTCAGGTGTTGCTCATGCTGCTGTTTCAGCCTGGAATCCCCTCCACCCATTCATTGCCCCTCAATGCTCACCTAAATGCCAGATTTTTGTGTAGCATTTTCTCCTGTAGACTCAATCAGGGTTAGGTCTTTGTTTTACTTGCTTTTACTTTTCTTTCTTAGTGTTCCTCTAATTCTACCTTGTGTTATAATGTATTACTCTCAGGCTGTTTTCCTCCTTAGACTGTAAGCCCCTCTGGGCAGGTACCTTGTTGTATCTCAGCCCTCCTAAAGGTGCATTATGGGGGTAAGCTATCTACAAATGGTGACTCAATCTCATTTCTCTAAAATCATAGCAGAATGTTTCCAAATTAGTGGATCCTCCAAATCTAATTCTAAAATAGAGAAATGAAAATCTTGCCTTTTTAAGCTTATTTTCTTGCCAGACTTAGTTCAGTAGGTTCCGCTGTCAGCAGAATCACACAAATGAACAGTGAAGGTCTGCTGAACTATGTGGGTAAAGCCAGGGCTGGAAACTGCATCAAAGCTTTAAGCTGTTATTAATCAGCTAAGCAAAAACTCTGTTTCCTGTACCTCCTAATACCACAGACATCGTGGAACTGTCTTCAGGACATTCTGGGAATGTCAAGTCTAAGAAAGCTATGAAAATTATAGTTTAGTAAATCCTTCCATAAAAGAAACTCAGCAAAGGTACCTGAGAGGCCATGTAGAAATAAAGCTGAATTTAATGTGAATCTTCTTTTATGATTAGAAAATATCAAAGTACAAGAAAATAATATGAATCAATCCTCTCTTCTGTTTGTTTAGCAGTATTTATTACAATGGTACCTATGCAGAAGTATCTTCTGCTTCTTATTTCACTGATCAGGAATATGCTACCTAATGTGGCATAGAAAGGACCCAGGAAGTGTTGGGATTAAAGCTCATGTTAAAATAAATTTGTTCTGTTAAATTACCTGGATCCCTAGAGCTTCCGTTTTTGCATTTATCTCACAATAAGTTCCTTAATATCTTTTTAAAATTCTCACCTGAAGATATGTTTTTATTTATTTTAGAGAGAAAGGGAGAGAGAGAAAGAGTTGCCTCCCATAAAAGCCCCTCCTAGGGGTCAAACTTGCAACTTAGGTATATGCCCTGACTGAGAATCAAACCGGCAACCTTTTGGTATACAGTAAAGTGCTCCAATCATCTTTGAGCTACCTGGCCAGGGCCCTCAATATCTTACTATATAGAAGTCACTGTAGAGACCTGAGACATATGTGGTCTTATCCTCACATGTTTTAAAGCATAATAAAAAAATGCAGCATGTACACATGAATAACTGGCTTACAGAGTATCAAGTAATATGTTGTAGAAGTACAGATACAGAAGTGGGAAGAGTTATTTTGGGCTTCCAACCTCTTCTTCCCTACCCCCCTTGCCAACCAGGTGAAACATTCCTCTCTCTCTCTTTTTTTTAAAAAATGTTTTTATTGATTTTAGAGAGGAAGGGAGAGGGTGAGAGACAGAAACATCAATGGATTGCCTTCTGCACACCTCCTACTGGGGATCTAGCCTGCCAGGGTGAGACATTCCTCTTTAGATTAGATTGGGCTACACACAGATTGAAAAGCTTCCCATGACTGACACATGGACCATCATACTATATAGCCCAAATACCATCAATCATAAAAAAATCACTAAAAATATGGTCTAAATTCACCTTCCAGAGACTTCTTTCCTGCACCTTTCACTAATAATTCATATAACAATACTTAAGTACCAGAAAAAAATTCTATGTCAAAGGATGGTCACCCAAGCTCAAGTAACAAAGTATACTTTGCTCTCTTCAGGGGGTTTCCTGAGGTTGGCAAAAGCTTCATACCTGGGTAGAGACGTAATTTTCCCCCATTTCTCTATGCAGAAACGCCTAAGCCCGTTGCTTCCTCGAAGGGCAGCAAAGCCTTCATAGGGCACACTTGATGTTCCTGTGACAAACTGAAGCAATCTTAATCTCTGCTCATTGTTGAAATGCTCCACTGCAGCCCAGAACCAACGGATCACAAGATGCCCATCATGGTAACCTGAATGGAGCAAGAAGAGAATGAAAGGAAGTAGATAAAAGAGGAAGGAAGGGAGGAAATAGAGAGATGAAATACACATCAGGTGTGATAGGAACTGAACAGCTGCTTTTGATCTGCTAATTTCTCTAATGATGGCCTATAGGTAAGTCTAAACCAATTTGTGTAACTAGGTCAATTTTAAAAACAAAAGCAGATTTAGAAACTACCTATTTTATAAAAAAGGTGATATGTTCTGAGGGATGTTATTAGAGATGTTTGCTCTCTGTTTAAATAATTGGGACTCCAGTAGTCATTTCCTGGCTCATATAAATGTAGACAAGGGATGACTAGGTTTAGTAGAGATCATTTGGATCCTTAAGAGACAAAACCTTCTATGAATACAATATTTTATTTTACTCCCTTTTTTCCTGATGTCATATCTTGGTAACTACATACTGTGGAAGAGTATAGGACTTAAGAAAGGCTGGAGATAAAGGGTGAGCTTGGTGAATGGGAGATGCTGGGCTCTCCAGCAGCCATTGATAGCCCTGGAGTAGCTGTGCTCATGTTAACCTTTGCCTGAGATAAATTGGGCACATGGAAGAAGTATTGGACCCCTCTCACAGTACAGTTGAGAGACCAAGCTTGAATCAGTTACTTAATGTAAATAATTTGCTTCTGACTTCAAATGCGAGAGACATTCAAAGATGGGAGAAATCAATGTGGGATGGGGTAGAAGCAGAAAAAGCTTCATTAAAAAAGTAAGGTGTGAGTTAAACTTAGGAACAGTTTGTATGAATGGAAGGAAAGAAGAGGACATTTCTGTCAGGGGAAATAAAGAAAAAAACAAGAATGAGGAAGAAATACAGAGGAAATAGCAAGCTGGTTAGCATATAGAGGAATCTGATGAGGACCCAAAGGAAACTAGCTGGGGTCCTTAGAGGCCTTTAACAGCCAGACAGAGACATTTTGACTTTATACCTTCGGTCAGTGGTTTCCCTACCAGACTAAGAAGGGCCTAGAGGCCCCACAAAGGCTTCTCATGGCTGAGCGTATTGGGGAGATGAGGTAGCCTGGGATAGCAGTCCCCTTGCTCTCTCTCTCTATTGTATTGATTGGGGTTTCTCTGTAATATGTTACATGAAGAAAGGGTTTTCAGAGTAAAGCTGTCAAAAACCTCTTCTATAAATAATAAGGAGCTTGTTTTGTGGGTAGGGAAGTGGCAGGATGAAAATAATGTTTCAGGAAGACTAGTTTGGCAGTGTGAAAATGAATAGGAGGGATTAGAAATTGTTTTTGGAGAGATGACAGAACTGTGTTGCAGTAAACAAAGACTGAGGTGAAGAGGGTGCCAATTCTTTTTATTTTTTATTTTTAAATACATCTTTATTGATTTCAGAGAGAGGAAAGGAGAGGGAGAGAGAGATAGAAACATCAATGATGAGAGAGTAATTGATTGAGCCCGCAACCCGGGCGTGTGCCCTGACCGGGAATTGAACCCTGATCGCCTGGATCCCAGGTCCACCCTCAACCGCTGAGCCACGCCCGGCTGGGCGAGGGTGCCAATTCTATAGGAAGTAGGACACATTCCCTGCAAGCAAGAAACCCAGCTCAGGAGCTGGCTCATGGATGATGGTGTTCTCTGATGAATCTGCACTTTTAGGCCAGAGACTACCACCAGGAATTACTATCTGCTGAAGCAAAGTTCAGGGTGGAAGTTGGAGGAAGGCATATAGAAGAACTTACTTTACACATGTATTAAAGTAAGAGAAAGTTTTTGTAGTCATCAAAAAGTGATTATATATATATTACTTTTATTTAATTATAAATATATATGGGATATATATAAATGGATTATTATTCAACCATAAAAAGAAATGAGGTACTGAAATATATTACAACATGGAAAAACCTTGAAACAGTATGCTAAGTGAAGGGAGCCAGAAAAAAAGACCTATTTACCAAAATGACTATTTATGTGAAATATTCAGAATAGGTAAATCCATAGATATAGACTGCATATTGATGGTCACCAGGGTCAGTGAAGAATGAGGAACAACTGCTTAATGACTAAAGTTTTCTTTTTGGGATAGTGAAAATGTTTTGGAACTAGCTAAAGGTGATGGTTGCACAACATTGTGAACATACAAAATGACATTGCATTGCTTACTTTAAAATGGTGAATTTATCATGTCATTTTCACCTCAAAAATTTTTTAAAGCGATGACTTGTGTCTGTGATAGCTATATTATCACAGGCCCTGCCAGCTCACCTCCCCGGTACTCAGTGTTATTCCGCCAGTCGTTGAGGTCAATTTCTGCTGTTCCAGCTATCACCAGCTCCAGTTCTCTGGCATCAAACACGGAGACAAACCTAGAGTCTATGACCTGAAATACAGATTAGTCTTCATCATACAGATCCATCCACACTGAAAGTTCTATTCATTATTATTATTTCTGTGGCTTAAGCTGGGAAACTGACCATCATTTATAACTTTTTTTTTCTTCAATGTGGTATTATTGTGACTTAAACATTTGGAAACACAAAACATTCATGAGTTGGGAATCAAAAATGGTCCCATGCTTTTCACTACCTCTGATAATGCCCCATCCCAATGATGTTATGAATAAACCTGATTTGACTTTCCTAGTCACATTTAAATTTTTTTATTACTATTTTTGTTTGTTTGTTTAAAATATTACAGATGTCCCTTTTTCTCTCCAATGACCCATTCTACCGCATCATACTCCCCTCCCCAGTCCCTCTCCACACCATTGTTCCTGTCCTTGGGTTGTGCATATGCATATAAATTCTTTGGTTAATCTCTCCCCCTCCACCCATTCACCCTCCTCTGACCTTCTGAGATTCTGCAGTCTGCTCCATGCTTCCATGTCATCGAATCTATTCTGTTCATCATTTTATTAAGTTCTTTAGATTCTATGTATAAGTGAGATGATGTGATGTTTGTCTTTCTCTGCCTGGTTTATTCTGCTTAGCATAATATTCTGTAGGTCCTTCCATGCTGTCCCAAATGGTAAGATATCCTTCTTCTTTACAGCTGTGTAGTATTCCATGGTGTATATGTCCCACAGCTTTTTTATCCACTCATCTACTGATGGACACTTGGGCTGTTTCCAGATCTTAACTATTGTAAAATGTGCTGTTATGAACATAGGGGTGCATATATTCCTTCGGATTAATGTTTCAGGATTTTTAGGATATATTCCTAGAAGTGGGATCACTGAGTCAAAAGGCAGCTCCATTTCTAATTTTTTGAGGAACCTCCATACTGTTTTCCATAGCANCATTCCTAGGAGTGGAATCACTAGGTCAAACAGCAGCTCCATTTTTAATTTTTTGAGGAACCTCCATACCGTTTTCCGTAGTGGTTGCACCAGTCTGCATTCCCACCAGCAGTGTACTAGGGTTCCCCTTTCTCCACACCCTGGCCAGCNTTTGAGCATTTTCTCATGTGTCTCTTGGCCATGTGTATGCTCTCTTTGGAGAAGTGTCTATTCAGGTCCTTTGCCCATTTTTTAATTGAGTAGTTTGTCTTCCTCTTGCTGAGTAGTAAGAGTTCTTTGTACACTTTGGAAANGTTTGTTGGTGGCAGCCATTCTGGCAGGTGTGAAGTGATACTTCATTGTAGTTTTAATTTGCATCTCTCTGATGATTAGCGACGTCTAGCATTTTCTCATGTGTCCCTTGGCCATCCGTATGTCTTCTTTGGAGAAGTGTTTATTTAAGTCCTTTGCCCACTTCTTAATTGGGTTGTTTGTATTCCTCTTGCTGAGTGCTATGAGTTCTTTGTACACTTTGGAAATTAGCCCCTTATCAGATTCATCCCTGGCAAATATGTTTTCCCAGACCGTGGGGTTCTTTTGTATTTTGAGGCTGTTTTCTTTGCTGTGCAGAAGCTTTTTAGTTTGATGTAGTCCCATACGTTTATTTTTTCTTTTGTTTCTCTTGCCCTAGGAGATGTATCAGTGAAAATTCCACTACACGAGATGTCTGTGATTTACTGCCTATGCTTTCTTCAAGGATTTTTATGGTTTCGCAACTTACATTAAAGTCTTTCATCCATTTTGAGTTTATTTTTGTGTATGGTGAAAGTTGGTGGTCTAGTTTCATTTTTTTGAATGTACCTATCCAATTTTCCCAGCACCACTTATTGAAGAGACTGTCTTTACTCCATTGTATGCTCTTGTCTTCTTTGTCAAATATTAATTGACCATAATGGCATGGGACTATTTCTGTGATCTTGGTTCAGTTCCATTGATGGATATGTCTACTGTACCAATACCAAGCCATTTTGATTACAATAACCTTGTAGTACAGTTTGATGTCAGGTAAAGTGATCGCTCCCACTCTGTTCCTTTTTCTCAAGATGACTGGAGCTATTTAGGGTTTTTTTTTGGTTCCATATAAATTTTTGAAATGTTTGTTCTAGATTTGTGAAATATGCTGTTGGTATTTTAATAGGAATTGCATTGAATTTATAAATTGCTTTGTGTAGTATGAGCATTTTAATGATATTAATTTTTCCATTCCATGAGCATGGTATATTCTTCCACTTGTTTATATCTTCCTCTATTCCTTCTTTCAGTATCCTGTAGTTTTCTGAGTAAAGGTCTTTTACATCCTTGGTTAAGTTTATTCTTAGGTACCTTATTTTTTTAGTTGCAATGGTAAATGGTATTGTTTTTTAGTTTCTCTCTCTGAAAGTTCATTGTTGGTGTATAGGAATGGCACTGATTTCTGGATGTTGCTTTTGTATTCAGCTATCCTGCCAAATTCATTTATCAAATCTAGCAGTACTTTGATGGAGTCTTTAGGGTTTTCTGTGTAGAATATCATGTAAATAATGACAGTTTTACTTCCTCCTTTCCAATTTGGATACCTTTTATGTTTTCTTCCTGTCTGATGGCTGTGGCAAGGGCTTCCAGAACTATGTTGAATAAGAGTGGCGAAAGTAGACATCCCTGTCTGGTTTCTGTTTTTAAGGGAAATAGTTTTAGTTTTTGCCCATTGAGTATGATGTTGGCTGTATGTTTGTCATATATGGCCTTTATTATGTTGAGGTATGATCCCTCTATTCCCACTTTGCTGAGAGTTTTTATCAGAAATGGGCGCTGGATTCTGTCAAATGCTTTTGATATTTCAATATATGATCATATGATTTTTGTCCTTCATTTTATTTATTTGATGTATCACATTTATTGATTTGGGTATGTTATACCAGCCTTGCATCCCTGGAATAAATCCCACTTGGTCATGGTGTATGATCTTTTTAATATATTGTTGGATCCAGTTTGCTAGTATTTTAGTGAAGATTTTAGCATCTATGTTCATCAGGGATATTGGCCTGTAATTTTCTTTCTTTGTAGTGTCTTTATCTGTTTTGGGGATTAGGATGATGCTGGCCTCACAAAAAGAGTTTGAGAATTTTCCATCCTCTTGAATTTTCTGGAATAGTTTGGATAGAATAGGTGTTAATTTTTCTTTGAATGTTTGGTTAAACTGACCTGTAAATCCATCAGGTCCAGGACTTTTGTTTGCTGGGAATTTTTTGATTACTGCTTCAATTTCATTAGTTGTTATCAGCCTATTCAAATTTTCTGCCTCTTCTTAATTCAGCTTTGGAAAATTGTTTCTTTCTAGGAATTTGTCCATTTCCCCTATGTTGTCCAATTTGTTGGCATACAGTTGCTCATAATATTTTCTTGCAATGCTTTGTATTTCTGTTGGGTCAGTTGTTATATCGCCTCTTTCATTTCTGATTTTATTTATTTGGGTCCTCTCTCTTTGTTTCTTAGTGAGTCTGGCTAAAGGTGCATCAATCTTATGTATCTTTTAAAAGAACCACCTCTTGGTTTCATTGATTTTTTTGTATTATTTTTTTAGTCTCTATGTCACTAATTTCTGCTCTGATCTTTATTATTTCCTTCCTTCTACTTTCTGGGGGCTTCTCTTGCTGTTCTCGTTCTAGTTCTTTTAGTTGTTATGTTAGATGGTTCATTAGATCTTTTTCTTGTTTCTTGAGATAGGCCTGTAATGCTGTGAATTTTCCTCTCAGGACTGCTTTTGCTGTGTCCCATGGATTCTGGGTTGTTGTCTGTTCATTTTTGTTTTTTCCACAAAGTGTTTGATTTCTTCCTTGATCACATTGGTAACCCATTCATTGTTTAATAGCATGCTCTTTAGCTTCCATGTGTTTGAATATTTTTGAGTTTTTTTATAGTAGTTGATTTCTCGTTTCATGGCATTATGATCTAAGAAAATGCTTGATATGATTTCCATCTTCTTGAATTTGTAGAGGCTTGCCCTGTGCCCTAACATGTGATCTATTTTTGGGAATGTTCCATGTGCACTTGAGAAGAATGTGTATTCTGCTGCTTTGGAATGAAATGTTCTATAAATGTCAATTAAATCCATTAGGCCTAGTGAGTCATTTAAGGTCTGTGTTTCCCTGTTGATTTTTTGTCTTGAAGATCTATCCAGTAAAGTCAGTGGGGTGTTAAATTTCTCTCCTTTAAAAAGAGTCCTCCAGAAGTGTTTTTTTCNAGATCTATCCAGTGCTGACAGTGGAATAATTATTTGTTTAAAACTAAACAAAGCAAATAAACAAAACAAACTAAGCAAAACAAAATTCTTTAAAATAAAAATTAATTAAAAATTTTAAAAAATTATAAAATTTTAAAAGAAGAAAAAAAATTTTCCTCCTCTTTCTCTTCTTTCCAAGGGTAAAAGAGGGAAAACAACAACAACAACTGCAACAAAACAAAACCAAAGAAAAACAGGAGGAAAAAAAAGTCAATCAGCTAAATTTCTTCTGGGCAGCTTATGTGGCTCTCTGTTTTGTATGCTGTTTTCCGTTCTCCTTGCAGGTACTTGTGTATCAGCCAATGTGAGTTGCTGTCTAGATTTGGCTCTGGTGTCCTTAAGTAGTTGGTTATCTGAGGTTCTCTGTGGACCACCTCCTCTCGTCAGCTTGCAACCTTGCAACCTTGTAGTTGCCTGGTCTTACTCCAGAGTCTTCTGTAGAGTCTTTAGTGTGCAAGGTGGCTAGTGTAGCCCAGGGTATCACTCCTTTTACTTAAAAATTTTGCTCTCAGGCACTCACTGGGGGGAAGTTGGTCTTTGCTTCTCAACCAGTTTCTCTGTCTCTACCCTGTCCTCTGATTCTAGTTCCCCATGCACTGACCTGCTGCAGTTTCAGATTGATTTCAATCTGTTGCCTTTTCTTTATGGGCTGTTTCAGCAGCCTGTGCTCAGTGGGTTTGATTAAAAATCCTTCCAGTGAGCCCTTTGACCACCTAGCCCCAGCAGGGCTTTTTAGCTTTTCCTCTTGTTCCCATACAACAGTCCCTTAGTGTCTTATTCTTGT